TTATAGGAGAAGTTCGGATGATTCTTCCAACCTGGGTTGTATGTGTTTGAGTAAGGGTTTCCTTGAGCATAATTCACTTGATCAGTGGGAGTTCCTGCCAATAGTTGACAATCAGAAACTTTGTGTCCTGGGACTCCACATAACTCACAGTTAGGTGTTACTGCAGCCACGGTGGCTGTAGGTGTTATGGCCAAGTTATCGATCTTTTGGCTTAGTTGGTCAAACTTCGCATTGACTTGGTCCATACTACTTACTTCGTACATACCTCCCTTTGTTGGTTTCTCAGTTGCGACTCTCTCGCTTCCCCAAAGGTAATGATTTTGAGCCATACTTTCGATAAGTGCATAGGCATCATTATATTCTTTGTCCATCAATGCACCACCCGCGGCAGCGTCAATTGTCATTCTTGTATTGTACAAGAGTCCATTATAGAAGGTATGGATGACCATCCATTCTATTAATCCATGATGTGGACAAAGTCTCAGTAGATCCTTATAGCGTTCCCAAGCTTCGAATAATGATTCACTTTCTCTTTGCTTAAATCCGTTGATCTGAGCTCTCAGCATAGCTGTCTTGCTAGGTGGAAAATACCTATTCAAGAAAACTCTCTTAAGTTCTTCCCACGTAGTTACTGAGTTCGAAGGCAGAGATTGAAGCCAAGCTCTTGCTCTGTCTCGAAGCGAAAAAGGAAATAAATGTAGTCTAATAGCTTCTTGGGTAACTCCATTGGCTTTTACGGTATCTGCATATTGCACAAAGATCGAAAGGTGAAGATTCGGATCCTCGGTAGGATTTCCGGCGAATTGATTTTGTTGCACGGCTGATATCAACGAAGGTTTTAGTTCGAAATCATTTCGGTTGATAGCCGGCGCTGCAATGCTTGAATGCGGTTCAGCTTGCGAAGGATTAGCGTAATACTTGAGTGGATGAGTATGTTCTTCAGCCATCTCTGCGTCCTTTGATTTTACGACTGGTTTAGGCGGATCTAATTGAAGATCTGGAATATTGTAATTATTTTCGAAATCGAATATACGTCTTCTTACGTGTAAGAAGCGTTCTGATTCAGGGATTAGAGGTTGCAAGTCTTCGCTTTTAGAGCGAGTACTTGGCATACACTCGGAGATTAGATTAAATTAAATAGTTGATACCTTAGTCTAGACAATGCTACCTAAATGCACTAGTAACTAAATTAAGGAATCCCCGGCAACGGCGCCAAAAACTTGATGGGCTAGAGACGTGTCTACTTATGCGTCTAGCGGTATCTTACTGCAAGTGCACAACCTATCGAAGTAATATTTAAGATTATCGATCCACATGGATTCTATGGTTACTTAGTGCTAGATGAACTTCTAGTTTAGCTAAGGCGAATGGTTGTCACGATTTTTTGTTGATTTTTAAGACTATTAAAGGCGGAATTAAATTTAAGTTTTAATAAAGTAATACTAAGGCGGTCGGTATGTAATTATACTAACTTAGGTGGGTCAATCTAACCTAGGCTTATAAAGGTGTTCACTTAATCTATTCGGTAGAGATTACCAGTTTAAATACCCTCAACTCACACTCTCGTGGTCTTATATCAGATCTTATCCCTAAAGCCCTATGCCTGCTCTCGCTAGCCCATAAGTGTTTAGAGGTAATTTTTGGAAACTAAGTAATTCTAATTTATCTTAAAGCGCTCTCGCTGTGTTTAATTTAAATGCCTAACTTTAGCTATCTGGTTAAAATCTCAAACTCTCGTGGTCTTGACCTACCCTAATACTCTTTTCTTACTCTCGTAACGAAAAGGTCTATTTCAATTAAAAAGTATCAGCCAGAATGTTAAGTGATTAATTATTTTTAGCCTATGGTTATATTTTACCGGTTAAGTTTGTTATAACTACATACCGCCCTAAGGTGTTTAGCTACTCATCGATGTTGAACCAGACAGAGACAGAAAATTTAATAATAACGTACTCACGGCAGAAAAATAAATAAACATTATAATTAAATTAAATTGCAATATAATGAAAAACCTGGTTAACAAATATTCGAGCAGACTCCTTCTTCCACAGACCGGAAAGCTTGGAGTTGGCGGAAATTGAAAATAAACGAATGCTGAAGGTTTAGAAACAAATAAATGTATAACAATTTCCTGATGTTGGAAATTGTTATATGGCGGGTTTGGATACAATAAAAAAACGAAACAGAAAACTAAAAATAATGCAGGAATAGAAAGGCTGGTTCGTAATACAGTTCGGCAGAGCTTCCGCAGGAATTTGAATAAAAAATGCTCTGTGTCCATTGTTCATAGAACTTGTACTATTTATAGAATCCTTAATGGGCTGGATTTTTGGACCTTTGTTGCATGGGCCTTGCTGAATTTGTGGAAGGAATGCAGGAACGTGGCAACAAAATAGGAGGAATGGTCTTCACGTAATGCCTTGACGTAGTCTGAGTCAAAAACCTAATTCTACCCTTGTCACGGTCGTGACAAGGTCTTCACGTTCGTAACTTGTGGTTTTTAAGTGTCACGGTCGTGACCACTCTCTTACGGTCGTGATGGCTCAAATTGGGGTGTCACGGTCGTGACACCCTTGTGACGGCCGTGACTGCAACAAATTATGCAGTCTTTTGCAGGCTTCTTCATTTCTTCATCTCTTTATGATTTCTTTTGTTCCTTTTGCTCTTAATTCATGATTTAGCTCCATATAATGATGTACCTGCAAAATGGTAAGAAAAACTCGAGAAATCGAGTGTTAAAACGGTGAATATGCGATAAAACGTTAATGAAACCTAGCAATATAATCGATGCGTTTTCTCGTTATCACGTTACATACCGATATTCCTTTACCGCATTCCTTTAAACCAAAAATCTTTATTTCTTGTGCATTTAATTTCATTCGCATTCAGCTTTCCTAATTCCATTAGCCTTAGCTTTACGCCGTAATAATAGATAACGGTAGATTGACATTGGTCTCTGTGGGTTCGACAATCTTTTATATTACTTCGATATTTCCGTGCACTTGCGGACGCATCATTTTGTTGTTGGTGGACAACGTTTCAGCCATCAACCTTGCTAAGAATTCCATATAACATAGGAGAAACAAGCACATTGAGATGAGGTTCCATTACTTGCGCGATTTGGTGAGTTCTGGACAGTTACGTTTAAGCTACTGCAGAAGTGAAGAACAAGTCGCGGACTTGTTGACGAAATCGGTTACAAACGATGTTTTCAAGCGACTCGTGGTGAAGTTGGGGATGAAGAACATCGAGCATTTGACTTAAGGTGGTGTGTTGGATGTTATATAAGTCAAATGCAATGTAACTATGATTGGAAGCTATTTGAAAAGCTGCCAGAATGCTGCAGGAAAAATCAGAAAAATACTTCTGTTTTTTAGGCTGTTTTGTTTAGCTTTTATTTGTTACTTTGTTTAGTGTTAGTAGGCACTATATATACATTTTGTAACATGTTGAATGAGTTAATGCCATATGAGTTTTTTACTCTCTCAATTAATCTCTATTCTCTCTAAACTTCATCTTCCCCAATCCTCCAATTTCACCAAAATTATCCATCACCTCCATTGATTCACATACAAACTTTTGTGCTTGTTCCAACAAGCAGGTCTGTAGCTATCTGTACTCCAAGGTTGGCCTGTAACAGGTCAAAGTCTGGGACCATTTTCTGTCCAAATACCATAGGTAGTAGAGGAAACTGATGTGATGGTTCACCTTAGTAAATTTGTGAGTAGATATGAAGAATAAAAGATTTTGGAATGCTCATTGACTAACTCCCGGTGGAGTAGGATCCTGTCGCATAGGGTTAGATAGAGACGCTGTGAAAATTGGATCGTTTTCTACTTATGGAGGAGGAAGAGGCTGTGCTCTAAAATCTTCAGTAGCTATAATAGCAGCTTGTCGTTGAACGACATATCAAATGACTTTGGTTGCCACCATAGTTGATGAATTTAAGGATGGATCTGTTAGAGTAAGAGGTTGAAATTTCAAGGAAGAAGATCAAGAAACAAAGATATGGACCTTTTAAGAAATGATATATGAATCTTTGGACCAGAAAAAATTTGAACGTGGAAATTCGTGGGAATCAGATGTCGTTTTCGCAGACGGTGTCATTTTTTCATGATGGAACCAGGATGTTCAAAGAACGATGAAATGAAATGTTGGTGTGGTGTAGCGGAGCAAGTTTCAGTGCGACCCTGAGGGGAATGACTTGTAAGTTTTTGCACTCTAATATTCAAGTTAGTGGGAGAATGAGAAATAATGTGAGAGTAGAAATGCATTTGAATATCTGAAATGTCACACTCTTCTCTTTATATAGTGAAGATAGTTACAACCGTCCGCGTGAGGTGAGACGCTTTGTGTATATAACCGTTGGATTTAATCACACGGTTATAAACATATCTCAAGGATGAAATTGTCTTTCTCAGTTAAACGATTGATTGCATGCTCCACACGTTTTACTTCATTGTGGTGTTCTTGTGCCCTTCGCTTTAAGCATTGCAAACAGCACAAAACAACATTTTAATTCAATTTAAATGTTGTGATCTTAGACAATTGAGTTTGGATCACCATTTTTTTGTTTGGCATTAACCACTTGCATTCTATTTTTCTTCATTTGATAACCCCTTTGCATGTGTTATCCCACACTCTACATACTATTTTTCATCAATGGCGGTATTAAATGGAAACGACATCATGAAAGATAATATGAGAAAATGAAAACCGAGTAACTTTGTACCTAAAAAAAGAAGTGAAATTTTAACTGTTGTTACATGAAACATCCACAACATGCAAGTTCCATATTTCACTACTCTAATAGTTACATCTCACTCAGTTTGTGCTAAATTTTACAGAATATTATTGACCACTGCTAGATACATACATACACATAAGACATGAAAATAAAATAAAAACTTGTTCAAGAAAGAAAAAAACTCGAAAACAAAACCCAAATGGCAATTATTCTGGTATAATATAATGCATGCTAACATTATACTTATCACTCATCATGCAACTTCTTGGCTTGTTCCCTTTTTCCTAGAAAAAATGCCTCCAATAAGTGGAATCAATGACTTCTTCTTCTTCTTTCTAAGAGAAGGGTGCCTTTCCAATTTTTCAACACCTTGATTTTGTGGCAACATGACATGAGAAACAGACGGCGGATTCGCGAATGTCACGTACCGTTTCTTTTGAAACTCCATCATTAATTCGTCGTCGAATCTTGAACTTTTCACTTCAAACGTGTTTAAATTCTCCACGAACTTCACGTCCTCGGTTTCTGATGGTTCCACTTGATGTTTTTCTGTTTCTCGTTGCTTCAAATGTTCGAGTTCTTGCTTCGTGCGTTCGAGTTCTTCTTGAAGAGATGACATACAATGTGCCATTAACATGCTTTCTTCTTTAGCTTTCTCTAGATTCTCCCGCGTCTCTTCTAGCTCGGCTGCAACGTTTTCGATCCTTGAAGATTGATCAGCCTCATTTTCATTTGCTCCAACGTGTATCTATAGATTAAAACACATTGAATGGTAACCATAACATAAACATTTGGATCATAAAAGTGAATGATGCATAAAACTATTAAACAATCACCCAGATAACATGTTGATACTGGTAATCACATGTGTCAGACACCAGACACACATTTGTTCAAAGATATTAGTGTTTCAGAGATATAGAACCAACCAACCTGATGTTTGAGTTTGGTTACATTTGCGTAGAGCTCACCGGCTAAAACTTTATCTCCGAATAACGAGACAGCCTCTTTGACAGACCTAAATGGTGCTCTTGTGTCAATCTCTGTGTTTCTTGAAAGCTTCTTATTCATGTTTAATAATGTTGGAGAATGAGATAGTTAAGTTAGGTTGGTTTATAAGTAGAAGCAAGTAAGTACTAGAAATAGAGAAAGGAGACAAATGGCATAATATATGGTAGCAAGATTGGAACCTTCTTTTCTTGGCGTCCACTTCACTTACAACAATTCTGTTATGTTTTTTTTAAGCGGTGGGTAAATGGTCCAAGCTTTGTTTATATTTTAACAGAAATTGAACAAGACTCTTCACCCAACATATAGAGGACTTGTTGTCTTAGACAAGCATTTTGAAAGGGAGAAGCTTGCTCAATATATACAATTCTTTTTATATTCCGTTGTTACCAAGATTGAATATTCTCATACATCACTCTTCTTGCTAAATTACCAAGCAATCTATTCTGTCATTATTCTTAACCATGGATTTAAATCGCACAATATTACTGATGTGTAGTCTCTGCAACTGCATCGGACTGCAATTGTAATATGAATAAAATAAAATCACTCGTTTGATCACCGTTAAAAACCGCATCAAATAATTTTACTCATATTTCTTCAAATATTTTCATCAAAATTGCAAAACTCAATTTTACTCTTATTTCTTCAAATATTTTCATCAAAATTGCAAAACTCAATTTTCTTTTTAGATAATAAAAAATCTTAACCTCAAGTGTTTTTTAACGGTGTATTTCAAACATCTTTCAATAAAAGTTCACGGCACAACCGTCGCAGTAGTTCTTAGAGGAAAATTAATTTTAGGAGAAATTTTTTGAAATTTAGATTATTATTTTAATCAACATCAATCAATTCAAGAATACTCAACCAAACCAAACAAACTAGTAAGTTGCAAGTGCACTAATTCTAATAGTAGCCAATCAATGTGTGTTTCTATAAACAATAAAAGTAATATAGTTTAGGTTCTTTGGCAACATGGTTTTTTTTTTTTTGGGTTAGGTAATTGAGTTGTTCCTCTGGATTGTTAATTTACACATGACATTCCACAAGCAAACAATAACCAATAACCTCTACAAATTCAAAGCATAAAAATTCAATTAGGAAGATACAGAAGCATTTATTTTTCCTCTCCTTGCATACTCAGGAAGAATCTCTTGTAACATATAGATTTTGCGAGTTTTGTGCTACTTATGTGGCTCACGTCTCGAGTTGATTAACATGGCTTTTCAAACAGAAAGTGAACTAAGTGTTCAGTTTCAGATGCGTTCATCACACAGCAACTGCATCGATGAGGCACTGCTGCCATGGAACCTGCCTCTAATTTCTTCTAGCCCATTTGTCCTTGATAACGGAATAGATGAAGGAGGTGTAAAGGATTGTTGATCTGAGATTGAAGTTATCTTGGAACCAAGTGACTCTAGCGATGCAAGGGAATGGTAAGGAACCATGACTTGGACACCTGGATTCACTACACCAGTTTCATGTCTTCCACTTTGCCAGTTAGGATATTGGAGTCTCATAAGATTGCTATTTACGCCACCAGATCCACCTTGTGTTACTAATTGCGCCGCCCAAATGTTTTGGTACTGCTGTTTATATGAATTTGTCGAACTATATTGAGTTCCACATAATGGTGTACCATAATAATGAGGTTGCTGCAACCGAACCTGCATTCAGTTACAGCACAAGGGAACAAAGTTACAAAACTCATTATCATCACAATAAGAAATTAGGTGCTACGAGCCTAAAACAGTAATATAGAACGATTAAAACCTGTGGTCCTGCCGTAGGAAGCTGATCAAGGTAAGAAGTGGATGTATACTGATTTGAAGTTGTAGGTATTGCTGCCATGAGTCCGTGCTGCTGTTGTATAGACCGAAAATAAGGAACTTGTGATTTTGAGAATGGTCCCGACCTACTTCCACCTTTGATTAAACATTCATCAACCTTCAACTCGTTACATCCAGACGACAAGGACAAGAAGTTGAAACTCTGCAGAGTATAAAATATAAGCATCAGAGCATAATGATGAGGGGTCCCGAAGAGACATCAAAAGTATCCATAAGCTTACTTGCGATTGAGGAGCATGTTTCGCAGGTGTCGGAGAAGCCTGAGACAGAGATATGTCAAGATAATGGCACTGCTGCTGAACAACACCATTTTTATTTTCAGGGAAATTCTTCAAACTAGCAGATTGAACTGTTCCGGCAGTAAAAGTATTTCCATTTCTCGTCCTATTTGAGTTTTGTGCTTCGGTTAGAACTCCACATTTTGATCCTTGGTGTACTCTGATTGGATCACATTCATAAAGCTCGGGTTCTTTGGCAACCTGTTGTTTTGGTAGTTCTAAACTCCGGATGAGTTGACTGATGTGAACATGAGCTGCACAACTCTTCCATGACTTTTTATGAACGGCAGTTTTGGAAATCTGCATCATCATTAGTTATTGATAACAACCAATAGACGTTTGAGTCGAATGTATCGACTAGGATGAACAACTTTTTCCATTATATAGATCATGCTAAACAGCACTCACTGAGCATGAGTTTTGACTTTACCTTTCCACCAGAAGAACTACTTTCCATCAAACCATGTTTGGAGTTGCTAATAGCAGCATTCAACCAATGTGGGGCTTTAGCAGCAGCAGAAGACCTTAAGAACAAAAATCCATCAAATTCGGATAAATAAAATCGAGGGGCGAATGAAATTAGGCTACATAAAAAGGTCAAAATGAAGTTGAATAAAAGAAATTTACTGCGAAGAAGAGGCATTAAACGTAGCAGATGCCCTCAGCGACGAGCCCGGCCATAATGTTAGACCTTCTGATAAAACAACCAAAGATGTCTAGTCAACATCCAAATAAGAAAAATCACTGCTAGTAACAAACGAGCAAATTGTCTCCTAGCATACCGTTTTCTCTTCGGTACTTGATTATATGTTGTTCTTGCTTACAATCAATTCCACCAGCCTGAAACAAAAGTAAATAAAACACCACCAGTACTACCATTAGCTTGTAAGACAAGAATTTTAAATGCAGAGTTTAAAAGCTTAAATAACTACCGTCTCATACTCCACGTCTAGTTTTCCCCCAATATGTGAAATTTCCGATTGTGTAGACGCATTTAATCTACAATACGGCCGGAAAACACAATAAATAGATAAGAAAAAGGATCAGAAAATGTTATAGATTTCACAATGCAACTGAAATACTACCCACCCCATTCCAAGACACAACTCCGAGTCATGCAATTCTGCTTTAACATCATTGTCACTCCTCTTAACCATCATAGGCACGCCCTGTAGATTTACTTTTGCAGCTGTATTGTGAGTTGCCACCGAGAAATCTACGCCCCCGGGTAAATCAATCTGTTCAACTTCAACATCAACGGTTTCCCTCAAAAAACTAATTTTCACTGCTCCCTTAGACGAACTTTCAGCAATAACATCAGCATCCTCATTAGCTCCTAAACTCAAAATTCATTAAAAAAACTAATCACAAAATTGACACAAATCGAAAAGTAATTATTATCAATAACAATTGAAGATGATGTAACCTTGATCAATAACATTAGCACTCTCGTCTCGGTCCTGCAAACCCGACAATTTCTCCGGTAACGATTCACAGTCTAGTTCATTCTCATCATTGGTAGGAAACATTCCAGCCAAGGCATAGAGAGTCTCAGCAACCTCTTGTTCATCTTCTGTGATGGGCCCAAGAACAACTTGTTTCTAGAAAAAAGCAAAATTACAAACAAATATGAAAAAAACAAAAAAAAAAAAGTTAAAGTCTAGAATCATAATTCATAAAGAGGTTTAGCAATTCTCACTTTGAATTTCTTTATGCTATCTTTTTGAGGAGATTCCATTCCATATTTCAGCTTTTCAGAATCAGTTAAAATCGATTCGCGACCCCGCTTCTTCATCGCTGTTACATTAATTAATTAAAAATAATTCAAAACAATAAAAATAATTAATTAAAAATAATTAAAAATTAAAATATATATATACACATAATAATAAAGAAAATTCATACTTTTTTTCTTACTTAACCTAAAAAAAACATAAAAACCGGTGAAGAGAAAAGAAAAACCTGAACGTATCTTACGGGGAACAGAGGAATGATCAACGCCATTGCATTCATTGAAAACCTAAAAAAACAAAATATAAAAAATAATTTTTTAAAGAAAATAAATTTAAAAAAATTAGTAGAAATTAAGTGGATTAAACAAACCTTATTGTTGGTGGAAATAGATTCATTGGAACGATGATCGAGATTGCAACCCATTGAGCTCAAGGTTCTTAGTTTTTCTTTCTTGGATTTTTTGAAACCTGTTAGTGATAGTGAAAAATGAGATAAGTAGAAGAAGGAATAATCGGAAAGCGACAATAGTATTGTATTTACCAGATTGTTGCTGTTGTTTTTTGTTAATGTGTCGGTTTGTGGTTCGAGATGTTGCACGTTTCATTGAAGTTTTGTCCATTTTTCAATAAGCTTGTTCTTGTTATTGTTATTGTTCTTGTACTCGTCCATTCGAATGAGAGAGAGAGAGAGTGTGTGCTTTTGTGTGTGGTGTTTATGTTGAGAAGAAGAAAAGAAGAAAGTGAAAAGAAAGAAGAAAAGGAGAAAGTGATTCGTGGGTTGCGTTTCAGAGAATCAGGTTCTTTTGTGAATGAAATGATAAAGCAGGAGTAGTAACAAACTCAGAGTTAAGAGAGAGAAAGATACATACACTGACTCACGTGAAAAGAAAGGTAACGGAAAGAAAAAGATAAAGGAAGCACCTTCTCATTTGTCTTGTCCGTGAGAATTCTACAACTTATTTTATTTTTGAGTAACTAATTACTAGTAATTTATAAATAATCACTTTAATTTTTATTTTTTTTCATAATCAATTTTTAATCCATTGAACCGATTAATTTGGTTGTGATCAGTTCTGATATTAAGTGATTGTTTCACTTATTTAAGTGGAGAAGATCAATTTATGTTTGAGAGAGATAAGAGGAAAATAAGGATTCAAAAGAGAGAAAAGAGGAGAGAAACTTATTTATGTTTTTTTAACCAATCTCACTAAATCGACATCCTTGATTCGTTAAACGTCGGATCAAACTCAAATTTGGAGGGAAGATTCGTAACACTTGTATCTAACTTTTGACTATTCAAAATTTTAAAACAAGAATCTTTGTATGCCTATAAAAATTTTGTGGGAGAAGATAGAGTCCTTGTATGCCTATAAACTAGAGAATAATAAATTGTTCTTGTTGAATAGCTTCATAAGTTTGAAGTATAAGGAGGAGACTTCTATTTCAAATCACTTCAGTGAATTTCAAGGGCTCCTTGATCAGATGTCAAGAATGATATCAAATTTGATGATGAACTTTTGGGTCTATTTCTATTACTATCTTTATCAAAATCTTGGGAGACGTTTCAGGTTTCTATCACAAGTTATGCTTCTAAAGGTGTTGTTTCGTTGAAAATAGTTAAGGATGGTATTTTTAATGATGAGATGAGAAGGAACGCACACGGGTCTTCATCTCAATATGAGTTACTTTCACTGAAAATAAGGGAGAAGTCATAAAAAAGAACCGAAGTGTAGTAGAAAGAATAAAAGAAGCAAATTAAAGCCGCGATACAAGAATCTGGAGTGTCATTATTGTCACAAAATAGGACACGTACAAAAGTATTGCTATCAGTGAAAAAGAGATAACAGAGGCAAGAATGGTAAGTCTAAACGAAGAGACCATGAAGATTATGATGATGATCGTGTTACTACTGCTACTAGTGATGATCTTGTTATTCTTCGTGATCATGAGTCTGTTAATCATGTATTAGACGATAGCATGTGGATAGTTGACAGTGGTGTTATATTGCATGTTACACCAAGGAAGGATTTCTTCACATCTTATACTTCTGTTGATTTTGAAGTGTTGAAAATGAGTAATGATGGTGTATCTAAGGTAATTGGTGTTGGTGATGTTTGCTTGCAAACCAACATGGAAATGCAATTGTTGCTTAGAGGTGTCAAACACGTTCTAGATATCTGCTTTAATTTAATCTCTGTGCATATGCTTGACGATTGTGGTTATGATAATCACTTTGGTTCTGGAAAGTGGAAACTCAACAAAGGTAAATTGGTCGTGGCTAGAGGGGGAAAGCTTTTTAAATTGTATTGGACAAAAGCTTTGGTTGCTAAGGACAGTGTGAGTGCTATCGACATGTAAGCGTCTTTGTGGCACCGAAGACTTAGTCATATTAGTGAAAAAAAGTTGAATGTTTTGGCCAAAAAGGATGTTCTTCTTGGATTAAAGAATGAAGATTTGGAGAAGTGTTCTTATTGCATGGCTGGTAAAAAACTAGAGTATCTTTCAAGAGACATCCTCCCTCAAGGAAGTCAAAGTTGCTTCAATTGGTACGTTCAGATATTTGTGGTCCATTAAAGGTAAAATATTTTGGTGGTGCGCTTTATTTTGTTACATTTATTGATGACTGCTTCAGAAAACTATAGGTTTATGCCTTGAAGACAAAATACTAAGTGTTGAAAAAGTTCAAAGAATTACATGCTTTGGTTGAGAGGCAGACATACGAGAAGCTGGAATGTGTTCGTTCAGACAATGGTAGAGAGTATTATGAACCATTTGATTCCTATTGCAAGCAGCATGGTATTGCACATAAAAAAACTCCTCATAAAACTCCTTAATTGAATGGTTTAGATGAGAGAATGAATCGAACACTAATTGAGAGAGTAAGGTGTATGCTCTCTGAAGCTAAGTTTTCTAATCATTATTGGGACAAGAAACTTTACATGGTAGTGCATGTTCTTAATCTCACTCCTACTGTTGATTTGAACAGTAAAGTTCCAAACGAAATTTGGTTTAGAAAAAATGTCAAGTATGATCATTTGAGAGTCTTTGGTTGTAAGGATTTTGTGCATATCCCAAAGGATGAAAGATCCAAGTTGGATTCAAAGTCAAAACAATGTATCTTAATCGGTTATAGGAAATATGAGTTTGGTTACATGTTGTATGATCTTGTAGGAAAGAAGCTTATCCAAAGTCACGATGTGGTGTTCATGGAATACCAAACTATTGAAGACATTGATAAGGTAGAAAAGGTTACGCCTAAGAAAGATATTAGTTTGTCTAATGTTGATCCAGTTTGTTTACTTAGTCATAATCTGGATGTTATTGGTGGTGATGATCAGAATGGTGAGCCGTATGATTATGTTGATGATCAACAATTTGGAGATGAGGTCAATATTTCAACTAATGATTATGAAGGGGAGAATGATATGTCACAGGATGAAAATATTGGTAAAGCTCCAGAATCTTCTCAAGTTCAACTTAGGAGGTCTAACAGGCAGAGACAACCTTCTACAAGGTATAATTCAAGAGGTCATGGAAAGTAATGAAAATCAAAAGTGGTTGGATGCAATGCATGATGAGATGAAATCATTGCATGATAATCACATTTATGATTTAGTGAAGTTGGCAAAAGAAAAAGAGCTTTGAAAAATAGATGGGTTTATAGAGTTAAACATGAGAGCAATTCTAAGTCTCCAAGATGTAAATCCAGATTAGTGATTAATGGTTTATGGGTGTTGATTTTAATGATATTTTCTCACCTGTTGTAAGGATGTCATCAATTAAAATCGTGTTGAGTTTGATTGCTACTTGATTTAGAGGTTGAGCAAATGGATACGAAAACGAATTTTCTTCATGGTAATTTGGAGGAAGAGATCTACATGAAACAATCTGATGGTTTTCAAGTTAAAGGAAAATAAAATCATGTGTGTAGATTGAGAAATGACTTATATGGGTTGAGGGAAGCTCCAAGGAAGTGGTACAAGAAGTTTGAGTCTGATATTTATGATCAAAGATACTATAAGACTATTTCAGATCATTGCGTTTTTGTTAGAAAATTTTCTAACGGTGACTTCATTATCCTATTGTTATATGTTGATGATATGCTTATTGTAGGGAAAAGTAATTCTAACATTAACAGGTTAAAGAAGCAATTGAGAGAGTCATTTGTCATGAAAGACATAAGAGCAGCTAAATAGATTTTTGACGTCAGAATCATGTGTGACATAAAAGAGAAGAAACATTGGATGTCACAAGAACATTATATCGAAAGAGAGTTGCAAAGATTCAAAACGGAAAGTTATAAGGCACTAAGCACTCCTCTTTCTACTCATTTCAAGATGACTTCCAATCAAAGTCCTTCAAGTGAAGATGTTGAGTTTGATATGAAACGTGTTCCTTATACGTCTGTTGTAGATAGTTTAATGTATGAAATGGTGTGTACAATATCAGATATAGCCCATGTTGTTGGTACAATCAGTATATTTTTGTCAAATCTAGGTAGAGAGCATTGGAATGCTGTAAAATGGATTTTAAGGTATCTTCATGGTATTACAATTCTGCGAGGTTTTGTTTTAGAGGAGATACACGTACTATAGTGGGGTGCTTTGACTCTGATATGGCTAGAGACATTAATTCTAGAAAGTCCACTTCGGGTTACATGATTAAATTTGCAGGGGGGTTGTGTCTTGACAGTCCAGATTGCAAAAATGTGTAACATTATATACTATAAAGGCTGAGCTCATTGCAATTATTGAAGCATACAAAGAGTTACTATGGTTAAATAAATTTTTGTAAGAGCTTGGTTTTGTTCAAGACAAATATTTGTTATTTGTTGATAGTTAAAGTGTTATTCATCTTGGTAACAATTCAACTTTTCATAATAGGTCCAAACACATTGATGTGAGATATAATTGGATACATGATGTTTTGGATGTTAAGTTGTTGGAGTTAGCTAAACTTCATATATATGATAATATTTTTTATATGATGACAAAAGCATTATCAAGAGAGAAATTTGAAGCTTGTTGTGATATTGTCGTTTTAATGATTTCCTCCACATAGTTGTAAGGGGGAGATTGGTTGGGTTTGAGCTCCCTTCCTATGCGGAGAAATGTCCAGATATGATTATCCCATTTGTATCACTTATTTAAGTGAAGAAGATAAATTTAGATTTGAGAGAGATAGAGAGAAAATAAGGATTCAAAAGAGAGAAAAGAGAAGAGAAACATATTCCTGTTTTTCTGCAACCAGTCTCACTAAACCAACGATTCCCGATTTGTTAACTGTCAGATTAAGTTCAAATTTGAAGGGCAAGTTCGTAACACCTGTATCTAACTTTTGATCGTACAGAATTTCAAAACAACGTCTGAGGTGAGAGATATCTGCTTTGCACTGAAGCTGCAGATTTGGGAAATTTTTTAGCTTTTTAATTCTTATTTGTAAACTAGTTTGTTTTGTGATTTGCGGTTGTTAGCAGTAGTTTGTGAATCACTTCAAGACTCTCTTGTACCTTCAACTAATTATAGTTGAGCTATTTCTTTGATCTTGACGATTCGTGGTTTTTACTCTCATATTAAGGGGTTTTTCATGTTAAAAATATCGGTGTTCTTTTGTGTCTCTA